CCCAGTACTCAGCCAGGGTTGGATCTTCTGTGTCGTAGTCAGCAGGATTGTCTATCCAATAGTCAACAGGATGCATCTTCTGCTTAGTAATCTTCCTTCTTCTCAGTAGTAAGCCGTAGGGTTCTTCTTCCTAGTAGTCAGCATATGTTGCTGGCAATGTATTCTCCTGCCCAGTACTCAGCATTGAGGGTATGGTTCTTTTGCCTAGTAGTCAGTAGTAAGTGGGTAAAAACCGAAAGAACTACAGATGCTGTAAATCAGGAACAAAAACAGAAGTTGCTGGAAAAGCCCAGCAGGTCTGGCAGCATCTGTGAAGAAAAAGTTAGAGTTAATGTTTTGGGTCCGGTGACCCTTCCTGAGAACTGGTTCTGAGAAGTTCTGAGGAAGGGTCACCGGACCTGAAACATTAACTCTGATTTTTTTCTTCACAGATGCTGCCAGACCTGCTGAGCTTTTCCAGCAACTTCTGTTTTTGTTGTGAGTAGTGAGTGGGTGTTCTTCTGCCAGTAGTCAGAAGGAAATGTCTTCTGCCTAGTAGTCAGGCAATTGTTTAAAAGAAGACAAGAATGCATGCAGGGTTGGCATCCCTTTAGTTATAGTGTTAGTGTCTGCTGTTCAGTCAGTTGATGCTGTGATGCTGCCATCAGTGCCTCATTTCCCATCTCCAGTTTTTAATTGAACAGCCCTAGACCTTTGGTGAAGCTAATTTTCAATGAGGCAAATTGATTACTTGTCATGATCACGTTCAGCTGTCTACATGACAGTAGCGTGGAATCAGCATCCACTTCTAGTACCAGTGTTGGTACCTATGGTTTTCATACAAAGTATAGCCCAGGATCCCCCTCCTTCTTTAATCTTCACCATTAAAGCCTCCAGCACACTATATCTACGAACCTTGAAGCAGACTACCCATTGTTCCATTCGTACATCTCCTATTTCCAGACAGTGTCAGAATAAGTAGTCAGCAGCAGTTTCCTTTCAATGAATACAGGTTTAAGAGGGACAAGCCAGCTGCACCGTGTACTGACAGTGCCTATTGAACACTCACCCAACCAGGCAGCACACCCCTGGTTCATTTAATGCAGAGGCAACACAAAAAGATCCAACTATAAGGCACCTGGTTATGAAAACTGGATGCTAACTTTCGTATCCTCCGGTTGAAAGGTTCAATGCTTTCTTTTGACCAAGGCATGAGAATTGCTTTCCTTCTCACCATGAAACTGCTGTTGTTACCAGATTGCCAACTTTCAATCCATTTGTGCCCCATTCTGACTGTGATTCACTGAACTCTGCCTTCAAGCCGTATATCAAACCGCAGCATTGTTCAAAAGACAAATTATTTTCATTCAGGACAGAGAGGGAGAAAACTAGAAAAAACAATATGGACAAACATTGAGTGCACTCTTGAATAGTAACTAGCAGTATATTGAAATTTGCATGTGATTTTATACTTGCTCATATAGTGTACACTAAAATTATGGTATTAACTTAAATTCTGGTTGTATTCAAAATATTTAAGGAATGGTATTTCTGAGGTTAGCTGGAGATATATTTCGTACAAATGTGAATTTCAGCAATGATCAGCTTTCACTTTTGGAAAACAACTGTAGTTGAACAGTGTATCACAATTGGACTGCTTGAAGGCCAATAGTTTCCAGTTCTATGAATCCATTGAGTGAATAATTTGTTGAACGATTTCAGAACTTGCATACCAATTATAACTTAGTACAAACATTTTCCTGAATACTGTTTATGTCAGTTAATTGTGCATTCTATTTTCTTTGCCTTCACACTGTTTGGATAATAAAAAAGATTGGTAAGTAAGCCTGATGAATTGTTTAAAATCTTTATAATTCTTAGTTTTCAGGTTTGTTTTAAATATTCTTCTGACGCAACAAGGCTAATCACGCTGCAAGTAATTTTGTCATCTTATGCTCAGACATTTGCCTTGATCCTGTAACATTGTATCTAGTTATGTAATTGTGTGCCCTGAATTGTAACAATGGGAACCTGTTGTGAACTGAACTGGATATTTTATTTTCTTGAAATGTACTATTTTTAATCATTAATAGGCAGATGAAAATGTAAGTTAATAGAACAAAGGGAGATATGAATTAAAACAGAAATTGCTCGAAAATCTGCAGGTCTGGCAGCATCTGTGGAGAGAAATCAGAGTTAACATTTCAGGTCCAGTGACCCTTCTTCAGAACCCAGATATGAATTAATGGTTTACAGATGTCAGGTTGCACTGCTGTAGGCAGGATATTATTAATTTGGACAGGTGCAGAAAAGATTTACAAGGATGTTATTGGGAATGGAAGGTTTGAGTTAGGAAAGGCTGGATAGGCTGGGACTTCTTTCACTGGAGCTAGGCGATTGAGGGGTGACCTTATAGAGGTTTATAAAATCATGAGGGGCATAGATGAGGTGAATAGCAAAGGTCTTTACCCTAGGGTAAGAGATTTAAAAATTAGAGGGTATATTTTTAAGGTGAGAGGATAAAGATTTAACAGGGATCTGAGGGGCAGGTTTTTCACACAGAGGGTAGTGTGTAATTGAAATGAACCGTCAGAGGAAGTGGTTGGTGCAGGTACGGTTACAACATTTGGACAGGTACATGAATAGGGATATGAGGTTAATGCAGGCAAATGGGACTGGTTTTGTTTGGGAAACTTGGTTGGCATGGACACGTTGGACCGAAGGGTCTGTTTCCATGCTGTATGACTCTATGACTCTATAATTCTAAATAGCTAATCAACCTACAGAGCAACAGTTGGAAACAAATCTTACGTACTTCTGTTAACTTTTGGTTCTTTCCTTGAGAAATAATAAACCACATGCTTTGTCCCTTTTATAAGAAGATGTTCTCATATTTAATGCTGCGGGGTAATTTTAACCTAATTTGGCAAGCAGGCAAGTGATGGAATAGGATCAGTGAGTCTTCCTCACTCATCTCATCTCATTTTACTCTCCTTTGATTTCAGTGGAAATTAAAATTAGATGGAGTATAAAATGGGCAGTTAAGCCAATATCATTAGATTTCCACTAAATGGATTAGATTTTCTCTAGACAACGTTGAACTACAAAAACAAGCTTTCTGAATCTTAGTTTCTATTGCAGTCATCTGTTTAAAAATTGACTGATTGTCTCAACCCTTTATCCCTCTATGTTCCCAGTAAATGGAAAGTTTGTTCACTGGCTAATTAACTGATTTCCAAGTAGATTTATCACTATACTTGATAATCATTCTACCCTCTCTTTGGAAATGGATCTAAAGAAAACACCTTTGCCATTTCCAAAATGAGTATAGGTGATCCTGCCTTACCAAGCCTGAAATGAATTAACTTATCATCTAAGTTTGAAGTAGAGTCTCTGAGCTGCAACAATTTTAAAAAGTGGCTCATCTAGTTTTTATATGCATCTCCAGTGGCTGTGTGATTTTTAAAAAGCTCTGTCATTGCAGCCTGTGGTTTTCAAACTATGCAAATCCACCTTGTTTTAAAGAAGCTTAGTTGATTCCCAATTTTTCCATGACAATAAAAAGATCAGATAACTCAAAACATGGAACTAATTCTAAAAGATACGATTTGTATGTGTTTGGAGAGGCATGGAATGATTAAGGACAATCAGAATGGTTTTGTGCGAGGGAAATCATGTCTCACAAAATTGATTGAGTTTTTTGAGGAAGTAACCAAGAAGATCGATGCGGCTAGAGGAGTAGCCATTGTTTACTTGTACTTTAGTAAAGCCTTTAACAAGGTACTGCATGGTAGACTCATTAGTAAAGTTAGATCACTTGGAATTCAGGATGAGATTGCCAATTGGATACAAAATTGGCTTAACAACAGGAGACAGAGTGTGATGGTGGAGGGTTGTTTTCTCCAGACTGGAGGCCTATGACCAGTGGTGTTCCACAGGGATCAGTGCTGAGTTCACTTTTGTTTGTCATTTATATAAATGATTTAAATGAGAATACAGAAAGCATGGTTAGTAATTTTGCAGATGACACCAAGATTGGTAGTATAGAAAACAGTGAAGAAGATTATCGAAGATTACAAAGACATCTTGATCAATTGGGTCAATGGGCTGTAGAGTGCAGAAGTGAGATATTGCATTTTGGTAAAATGAACAAGGGCAGGACTTCTACAGTTAAAAGTAGAGCTTTGGGTCGTGTTGCAGAACAGAAAGACCTAGGGGTTCAGGTACATAATTCTTTGAAGTTTGCATCATATGTTGATAGGGTGGTTAAGAACGTGTTTGGCACACTTGTTTTCGTTGCTCAGATCTTTCCATATAGGAGTTGGGACGTTAAATTGAGGTTGTACAGGATGTGAATGAGGCCTGTTCTGGAGTACTCTGTCCAGTTCTGGTTGCCTTGTTATAGGAAGGACATTACTAAGCTGGAGAGGGTTCAGAAGAGATTTACCAGAATGTTGCTGGTAATGTAGGGTTTGAATTATGGGGAGAGGCTGGATAGGCTTGGCTTTTTCCACTGGAGCATAGAAGGTTGAGGGGTGATCTTGAACAAGTTTGTAAGATCATGAGGGGTGTTAATAAGGTGAATGGCAGGTCTCTTTTCTCTGGGTTGGGGAATTTCAGAACTAGGGATACACTTTTAAGGTGAAAGGAGAAAGATTTTTTAAAAAAGACACGAGGGGCAAATTTTTTTTACGCAGAGTGGTTTGTGAATGGAATGAACATCCAAAGGAAGCGGTGGATGCCAGTACAGTTACAATGTTTAAAAGACATTTAGATAAGTACATGAATAAGAAGTGTTTGGAGGGATATGGGCCAAGCACAGGCAGGTGGGACTAGTTTAGTTTGGGATTATGGTTGGCATGGACTGGTTGGACTGAAGGATCTGTTTCCATGCTATATGACTCTATGACTCCATGATAATTATCTTTTTTAACAAACCTGCACAATGTAATTTTATTTTACATACTTTAAGGCCCTTTCCAAAGTCAGATGGAAAAACTATATATGTTTCTTAATATTTTCTAGAATCTAGAACACCCTTTTGGTCACTTACTGTAAAGGAAGTTGAGAAGAACATGGATATCCTTGGGAGGAGAATTCTACCAGTTTTAGATTTTACACTGTGCACTAAACTAGCTGTGGGTATTAAATTTATTAAATTGACTCGTGGACTCATGGAACAACTGAAAGCTTTTATTAGTATTGAAGATTTACATCAGAAAGATGGATTTACAAAGGCAACTGATTATGGCAGTTTTCCTTTTTATTAGTCTGCCTACATTTATATCTTAAAGTGAATTATCAAATTTCAAGTGCATAAAACATGCCCTACAACCACAAGTTTTGCAAATTCTCAATAAGTTATATAATGGAATTTTCACAATGCAGGCTTCCTACTTATTTAGAAGAAAACTATTAAACAACAAAATGTGTAATATCCACTGTTTTGTAGTATTTATATAATTGAGTTAACAACGAGGTGAATTATCTGTTGTTTATAGAGATCAGTTGTAAGACTTAAAGAAGCAGTAAAGTTAATTCAAAATAAAATGCTACAAACTTCATCGGGGTTTCTCGTAATCACTGCCTTGCCTTTGGCAGAAGCCCCACTATTATATGTAAGTGAGGATGAGGCCCAAGCTACAGCATCAGAATAGAAAATCCCCAAGTGAAGTAATTCACAAAATGTCAATCATAGTAACATCATATTTCTGTAAAGGTTGGGACAATTCCTGTGCAAAAATAGAATTTTTGCCTCCTATGTCTGAGTGTATATATATACATAAAATGTATATTTTTTCTTAAATAGTAACCCATTTTTACAATGTATTTCCCTAATTTGGCTCTAATTTGACATGACTACTCAAGAGTCTTATTATCTGACCTACAGCAACAGAATATTTTGATCTGTGTGCAAATTATCATGTGCATAGTATCCACCAATTCTGGTGGCTGCCTTGGTATTAACACAATTTATCTTCTATACCATATACAAAACAGTAGGTAATCAACAGTTTTTAAACAGCTTTGCAACAATCTTTCTTTGTTTTTCTTTGTTGCACTCAGAATATCAACACTAAGGTAATCATATGTAATACATTGCAAGAGGCAAATAAAAACTTTGCCCAAATTCAGCACAGCCTTTCAAGAGCAACATAGTGTTTCATGAGGTGTGAGCAATGATTAATATTGCATACAGGTTTGAGTTTTTCTAAAATCAGTAGAGGCTTTCAAATTGGTAAGTGCAGGGTAAGCACCCGATACAAAATCAAATTACTGTGGAAATTGGAAACAGCTATTTATTTATTTATTCTTTCAACTTAGTGTGCTTCATTTGCAGCGTGCTTTACACGGTGGAAGCCAAACATAGATTGAATAACTACTTTGTGGAAAACCTCCATGGACCTGCAAGCATGGTTCATGTTATTGATTGCCAGTCATTTTTGTTCTCCACCTTTTTCCACTTTGAACTATTCCAGTGAAGCTCTGCATTAGCTCATAAAATAGCATATTACATTAGCTCATAAAATAGCATATTAACTTTCGATTAGACACTTTACATCCTTCCATACTCAAAATTGAGCTCAACAATTTCAGATCATAACCACCGCCATATTTTTTCTGACAGAGCTGTTCACTTTTACACCTGGTCTACACATATCATTTGTTTCTTTACTTGTACCATTACCGTCCCCTTTTGCTTTGCTCTAGTGTCCCATTTGTCATTTAATCTCAATCACTTGTGTTCTATCACAGATCCTTCCTACTCCTCCCCTCTTTGACCACCCTTGAAAGTAGAAGTAATGATGACGTTCTGAAGATGTATAATACCTCAGTAAGTCCAGGAGTATTGTGCACAGTTTTGGTCTCTTTTTTTAAAGAAGTATAGACTTGCCATAGAAGGGCTGCAGCAGTGGTTCAGCACATTATTTCCTGGATTGGCTTATCAGGAGAGATTGAGGAAACTGGATCTGCATTCTCCAGAATTTTGAGGAAAAAGAGGTGATCTCATCGAAGCTAAAATTCGTAAAGGGCATGATGAGGTGGTTATAGACAGACTGTTTCTCTGAGCTAGTGATTTTTGAACAAGGGGCTTAATTTAAGGATTAGAGGCAGGTCATTTAAGGCTGAGATGAGAAGGAATTTCTTCACTCAGAGGATGGTGAATCTTTGGAATTCCCAACCTCAGGGAGCTGTGGAAGCTCAAGCATGGTTCATCAGGTTCAAGACAGAAATTGATAGTTGTCTTGGAGACTTATAGAATTAAAGGATTTGGAAATAGTTTTCGAGAATGGCATTGAGGAGATGATCAGCCATGATTTAGAATGCTGGGGCAGGTTCAGTGGGCTGATTGGCCTATTTCTGTCCCTATGTTCAATCAGTCTATAATCTTATATTAAACAGACAATTGGTACCTTGTTTGTTACAGCTAGTACATTCATCACTTTCCTCTAGATATCAAGAAGGACCAGAACGGGGTTTTGGAATTCGCACAGATTTTGGTAATGCTCAAAATCTGGGATATCATTAATTATATTCACATCGCCCTTCAGGCTCTTTCAAACAACACAGTTAGCTGTCTTCAAGAATCTCACAACTACTGTTCCATTTGTTTGTAATGAACAATAACACATTATGCACGTCTTGAGTGCAGTGATAGCATCCCTACCTCTGTGCCAGGAGGCCTGGGTTCAATTCCCCCACTGCTCTGGATCTGTGTAATAACACCTTTAAACAGGTTGATTAGAAAATATCTACAGATCTGTGCTGATTTATTTTTTTGATAACTGCCATAATGATTTTAACTTGTAAGAGGCTTCTGCCCCGGCTGTTTGAGAGGAGACTGAGAATATAAAAGATGATTAAGAAGTTAGAGTAATTTAACAATTCTGCAGCCAATGCTATTTAGCTCATTGCTGAGTAATCAAACGAATAATCCAAGGTTTCCTTGCTAAGAGTAACATTCGTCCCACTTCTTCCCACCAATGTTCATTTATACCTACCCGATTACTCATATTCCTGTTTATCATACCTAAGGTTATCACATACTGCTGGAAAACTCTCTACAAAAAGATCACAAACACCATTATACTTTTAGTAGTTTACAGAAAGATGTAAAAAATATTTTCCAATCTGGTGCAAAACTTCAATTTTTGTCTGAAATGCTTGTTTACCCATTCTAGTTTTTGAATCTAATCATGAATTGTTCCCTAGTGTTTGAAAAAGGCAGAACATTAATATGCTGTTGCTCAATGAAACACTGATGATCAGTGAAGTTTCGAGGTTCAGCCTTGAGCATTCTCCAAGGTCCAACAAAAATTTGGAACCTTGTGCAACTCCACTTGCCCCTAGTAATTTTTCTAAAAGTTCAGTATTGTTTACTTGTTTTGTCCACTAACAATTAACATCCTTTCTTTAAACTACTTCAGGCTCTTGAGAATCTGCAGCCTAACTTGTGACCTCTTAATCAGTGAACTCCTTATATGGAAAATGCATTTTGAACTGGCAGATCACCTATGGCTTGAAAATGAAAGGTAACCTGAAAACTAGGATGGATCCAGACTGACACCTTGCGATGACGATTACTTTCACCTGCTCACTTCTACTGATTTAAGTGGGAACATAGGGAACAAGAATAGAGCATCCAACCCTTCAAGTTTGATCTATCATTCAATTAAATCATGGCTGATCTATACTTCAATTCCATTTACCCACCTATACTATATATCCCCTTGTATCCTTAATTATCAAACTTGAAGTTAAAAATTTTGATTGGTCCTACAGCCACAGCCTTTTGGGGAGTGAGTTCTAGATTTCCACTATCCTATGTGTAAAAAGGTAATCCTGATTTCAGTCTAGAATGACTTAGCTCTGTTTTGAAGACTATGCCCTGTTGTTCTAGATTCCTCAACTGGATTAAATACTTCTCTGTACCAGGCAAATTGTGCCCCTCAATCATTTTAAATCTAATAGTAGTCTGGCAGTACAGAACTTGAGTACTGCTGGAAAAAAGGCTTTGTTTTCCAAGCTTTTCGTCTTGCTCTCAGCAGGACAACTTGCAAGAATACCAATGCAAGAAGAAAACTAACATTTATATGGAATAAGAAGAGAGTGCTGATTGGTTAACAAGTGGACTCTGATTTATAGAGGTGTTACCTTGGAGAATGCACCAATTAATGCTGATTGACAATTAACTGCCAGGTTTTGTTTAAATTTTAACCTAGGCAGGTTGACTCTGATTGGTCACAACATTGTCCTGAGAAATGAACCAGTGAGTGGTTATCATCTATTTGGTGAAGTTTAAAAAAATGGTAGTGTGTGTACAGTTTTAGAAATAGGGAAGCTAGATGTTTCACAATGCTACTATGCAGTGTGTTCACCATTTATAGAATGCTGCTATCAAGCCAAAAATAAATTCTACCTATTAACAAAAATGTGTAGTATGGTATTTGAATTTCAGGGCCAATGTGATGTCAGGTATGCAGGCTGTACATTACACAGTCTGACAGATCATATCAAACAGCATATTCCTTTGACTGTTTAAAACAAGTAAGGAACTGACTGCACCCAACCAGCCCACACTTGCAAAAATGACAAGATAATAATCAGTATTATATGTGATTCTACAATTGGCCATAATTTACTGCATAATTGTAAATGTGTGAAGAATTATGCTTCTAACCAATTTAGAATTGTCAGTTGGGCGCACAGTGTGGTGCACCTACTACACATTTTAGTACACAGAGCCCTGTTCTTTGCAGGCAGAAAGAACATGTACATCCACTGGTAGTCGGAACTGCAAATGCTGGAGAATCTGAGATAACAAGGTGTAGAGCTGGATGAACGCAGCAGGCCAAGCAGCATCAGAGGAGCAGGAAAGCTAACGTTTCGGGCCTAGACCCTTCTTC